TTGTAATATGCTTTAAAAAAATATTATGCTTATGATTGAGGCAAAATTTGTGTTATTTAATCTAGTATATCTTTTATGCTTATAGCATGTTTTGTTTTTATACTATATTTTCAGAGAGAACTCTTTTGGGTGCATATTTTATTCTTCAAACTTCTTATAAATACTACTTTGAATTGTAATTCAAATCTTAGGGAAAAATGATTAAAATTATGATGCTATAAATCACCTTAAATAACAACACTAAATAACTGAATGAGATATCCCTTCATAAACATCAGAAAATCCAGTAAAAATGTAACACAGTTTTATTTTAATAAGTGTTACATTTTTGCTGGATTTTCTAGCATTTGAGAAGAGAATAATCTTAAAATCTTGTTGTTTAGTACAATAAAACCATCATCATAAGACTCCTCATAAAACAGGATACGTGTACATTTTTATGATTATTTTGTTTATAATGTATTATATAGAAATAATGTAATTTGTTTATAGATGCAAGCATGTCTTATTAGCAAAAAGTTAAACACTAGGAAATGTAAAGAGTACTTGCAATCAACATGTGCTGATGAAATTCAAACCGTCAAAGAATTATATCAGTGAGAAAAATGCTGAAATAGTATTCAGAATTCCAAGAAGTATCATGTAAGTAAGTAAAAAAAAAAATAAATATAACAGAGCATTCCACTCTGCTGGCCAAAGGAGAACAAAAAAATCATAGCTCAATATTTAGTTTCTGTTAAAGAATGAGGATTTCTTTTGACAAGTTATCTGTAATACTTGATTAAAAATTATTTGAATAAAAAAATGTCAATATTCCATATACAATAATTTACCAGGAAATAACTAGATTAATTGTTTTTAAACTATAACAAGAAAATTTATTGCTTTGATTTGCTAATATTATCAAAACAAAAATATATGATATATAAAATAATGCAAAGTTATTTTATTAATCTAAAAGCAACACTAGGAACTTGTTTTTTAATAACATGTTCAATTATAATGAAAATAACCTATCAAATGAGGTTATTGAAAGATTATTGCAAAACAAGATCAAAGTATATTGATTTTGTCAGAAACCAAGTCTTGGAATTCCATAGAACTTAATGACATATAGGAAAAAAAAAAACATTATTTAATTTATTATTGATGGTTTTAAAGTAACCCTTGATGTCAGAATGAAACTGTTCTAGGTCATGCCTCCTTTTTGATGTCCTGCTCAAAAAATTTTCAAATGATTTATAAACCCAGGATAAGAGCTTTAAGTTTAACTTAACTTTTTTAAAATAAAAAGTTTAGATTAAACAATTTCCAAACATCAACACTGAATAAGTCTTTTAAAAAATTTTGGACAGTACCAAGATATTTTTTAAAAATGTTAGCTTATAACAAAGCTGGAGAAATGAGTTTTCNATTTTATAAATTAGTTATGATATATAAACTTAACTATTTTATAACATTACAAAATTGTAAGTTTTAACTGTAAAGCAAAAAGTGAACCTGTATGAAATGTAAGTTCAAAATAGCAATTTGTTTCATTCTAAACAGATTATTATTTAAAATAAAAAGTTTAGATTAAACAATTTCCAAACATCAACACTGAATAAGTCTTTTAAAAATTTTGGACAGTACCAAGATATTTTTTTAAAATGTTAGCTTATAACAAAGCTGGAGAAATGAGTTTTTCGAAATTTACAGTTAAAAGTTTATTCACATACATCAGTGATGCCTATGTACAAATATAGGCATCGCTGATAGATTATGAATATCCATGCAGTTTGATCAGTGTCAAGTCAGTGACATTTGGGATAGCAAAGTTCACAGATACAGAATTAGCAATAATTGTCTATCTTGGACAAGGAGAAAATGCATCAGGGAAAAACAGAAGTGGGTACATTATGCAACAAAAAGAAACAACAAAAGTGTTTTTTACCCTACACAAGGAATTAATTGATGATAAAATAAAACTTTTTGAATATTTCAGAATGTCGTTCATTTTTGTTTTCTATAGTAAACCAGGATTATCAGATTGTCAAACAAAATTCCCTGGTGATGAAAATCTTTCTAGACATAATGAAAAAGTTATTTAGCTGTTTAGAAAAGTTAAAATATAAAAAAAATGCAATATATAAAATACATTTTTATATATAATATATATAAAAAAGTACACACACAAATAGGTAAATTTTAAGCCATGGTCCAGATACTAAAGGTTAAAATATAGCAACGTACCAGATGTATGAATACTTCAATCAAATTCAAAGCAATGATATTTCTTTTATCACTGATGTTTATGGAAATAAATGGACATGTTACGAATGCATGAATGATCTTAATACTATTATCCATGTAATAATTAAATTTAATGTTAAATCAGGCAAATTAATCTCATTACCATTCATTTTTCAATATTTATTTTTGTTTCCATTTTGAAGTTTGGTTCTGTAATATCTCAGTACCTTCCATCTTAAATACATGTCAACAATCAAGCTTGAGTTGTAATTAATAATATTTTTTATTAGAATAATAAAATTTAATACAAGATGGCAGCATAACTGCCTATTTTTAGTTCCAATTACATAATATTCATGGAATTGGTAGTAAAGTTCAGTTAGTAGATCCAAGCTCATCATTTTTTCAGCTTCCATCTTAGTGACTAATTTATATAATTAAGGAGAAAAGTGGAAACCATTCTACAAATTAACAAAATTATAATTGTAATTGAATTTTTAATATAAAATATTTGTTAAGTCAGTAATAATAAAATTATTTTCTGCATATAAATTTTATAATTCATATTTTATATAAGTAAAAACATGTACAAAAGATCAAAATTGTAAAACTAACCAACTATGCCTTTACTGATTATGCTCATCAGATGAAATGATTACATTTTGTAAGTTATCAAGAAATGTATGAAAAGAAACTATAAAGCAGCAAAATGAGTGAGGATATTTATTCGAATTAAGCGATTCTCAGATTTTTGATCCCACCTTCAGATCACATGATGTTCTGACAATTTAAATAAAACAACTTTTTGAATGTAACTGACCAACATTACAAATTGGAATAGTTTTTACACAAATTAACAGATATATTTAAATTATAAATAGAAAATAATATAATATCACCTGTGCAAAAAGAAAAGAAAGAAAGAAAACACACACACACAGAATACAAATAAAACTAAAATAACAGTATATAAAAACAATACATATCTTTCCCAGTTTTAAGTTATCAAGAAACTTAATTATTGTTGATAAAGGTTTTTCTTTCGTTACATTTTCCCCCCATAAATTATATCAATACTTGTTAATTGCATTAATTTTAACTAATCCTATTTTATAAAATTAAATAACTAATTAAAATGTGATTACTTGATTAAAGTTTTGACTTCCTTTTTAATAAACTATAATGCAACAGGTTTCTGTTGCATTTTAGATTGATCAATGATATCTTACAAAATCTATAATGCAAGATATGCTATATTGGCATAATAAGTACATTTTGCCAAATAGCATATAAAGAAGAAATTATTAATTTATCATATTAAAAATAATTTTATAATAAAATCAGTAGTATTCAAAATTTTGTCTGAATAAGGGAATATCCTCATTTCAATAAATTAAATTAAGAACTGAAAAATTATAATCCCTAGGTTAACTAGGCCTAATTTTCAAAGAATGTTGAAATAAATAATGATTTGTGTAATTAGTTAAAAATTTTTAATTAACAATAAAAAGTAAGATCATAATTATTATGCAATTAATTATTTATATCATATATAGGTCAATATAATCCTACTGTTAAATAAATAATAGCAGCAAATCCTAAATTGAAAATATAAAATCAATCTACTAAATTCTAAATCCAAATCCGGATTAATAAAACACCTGTCTGAGAGCAATAATGATAAATTCTGGTTCTAAAAGCCAAAAGTACTTGATTGGGGAGTCACAAATCAGATATCATTTACTCTAAAAAAGGCACTAACATGCTTGCAGGTGCCTTTCTGACCTAAATCTTGTAATAACCTTCAGAAATTTTATCTCAAATCCTTTTTCAAATGCTTGCACGAACAATAATTAATTTCATTCAAAATTAACAAATAATGAAAAGTACATTGCTTAATGATTTTATAGAAATCTAAAAGATTATTAGAAAATCATTATTGATATTATAAAAGACTAATCTTTAATAAATCAAATCTATTATTCATTTCATTTTGAAAGGATATAATATAAAATTGAAATTTATGCTTTATTTTTTTAATGTATTGCAGTATTTAATTTTATTTTAACCGAAAACAATAGAAACTGCCTAAAGCACTTGTAATCTAGCAAATGCAATACTGTATATATGAAAAATTAATGAAAAAGCCTAATATTACTATAAAACAATCGAATTAGCTTATTTTATTTTTAAAAAATTCAAATTTTAAAAATCAGATTAATTATAATTATTATTTTTCAATAATTTATTTTTTCTTATAATATTCTTTACTTCAGTTTTAAATATCGGTAATTTAGCTAATCGGAAATAATTAACATTCCGGTTAAAATAGGTTTTTCTCCTTATATCAAGTAATATAATCCGAATTTATATTTATTAATAAAATATTATTACATTTAAATTTCTAACAATACTTAAAAAATCTGCAGGTTTAACTAAGGTATCTTTACAATAACCATAAACCATTTTAACATTTAAAACTATAAGTTTCATTCACATTTAGTTTGATTATAATAATAATAATAATATAAAGCATTAAATATTTAATAGATACTTGAAGGCTTTTTTTTTTTAATCAAAATGTTATCACAAAATTGGTTTAAATATTACAATTTCTAAAATTATTCAATTAAATTTAATAATAATTAGAATGTTTTTTTTTCATTAAATTTAATAATGTTTTTTTTTTTAATAATACATTCAATTATTTTATATATTTAAATATGTAATAATTAGCAGATGGAAATGTTTGAAAAATGTTAGCTCACCATGTAATTGGTCTTCATAAGAGAAATTCGAGTTTGAAATTTTATAAAACTGTGATGAAAAAAAGCATTGAAAGAATTAAATTAGACGCTACCATTTCTGCAACCAGAAAAACAAGAATGGACATTGTCAAGTAGACGATGAGAAAGTAAACTATTATATACACACTTAAACACTTTCATCTTTTATCAACGACGACGATATGAATGTTATATTACTAAATTTATGCCGATCAATCGATATTTTTAAGTCTAAAAAGTCATCTTTTTAGCGATCTTTCTTTTCCTTGGCAACCATTTGGCGGTCTCCGTTCTTACGTCATTCTTAACCCTAACGAGGCCTCATCGTTAAATTCGCTTTAAACATCAAAATTGCATAAAATGTTGTAATATATTAAGAAATTTCTCCGAACTGATACCAAAAACGAAAACATGAATTAAAAATAAGAATTCAAATTGTCTTTTACATGTTTTAAATTGTATTTTTAACTCACTCACTTGTTTACAAAGTCGTTGCCATGTGAAGGACGTGTTTAGGAATGAGGCATCATGGGAATTCGAGCACTTTTTGTTCTATTCCCATTTACCTTATATTAAAATGAATATATTTTATAAAATTAAGAAATAAATATGAATTTATATTCAATATAATTAAATAGTTTAATTATATTCGTACTAATAAATGAAATATTTCGTTATATAATAAACAGACCTAATACGGCCATTTAATTTGTTTTAATTAATAATTCGAAATATTCTTATTTTATTATATATTATTATTAATAATTACAAAAAATTTATTTATCTATAATTCCTAATACAATTGATTCTATCAGAATAATATGTGATCATTTTATAAAACATTTCAAATTACAAATGTAATGATTAAATTGTAAAACTTTTAAATTATTTCGTATGAATTTTAATATTTTATTATTAAATTTAAGTTATATTTATATAAAATACAATATAATTGATATTCAGTTTAATGACATTGAAATGTACTGTACATTGGAAAGGCAGCATGTGAGTGTAATTGACAAGAAGCTTTTAAATTGAATACGATATTATTACAGTAAAAATAATGCATCCTGAGTTAGAGAAGGAGCGTTGCACTGACAATGCACTCTCTTCACATCTTAGGATTGAACAAAATAATCCTTGTTTGAAGGTTTTGTATCAATTCTATTTTTAAGTACAGTTTATGATAAATTTGTTATCTAATTATGTTTCTTATTAATGTCCTGTCCATGAGAAAGATTAAATGCTTCTCAAAGACAAACATCTGTTATAACCATAACTATATTAACCATAATTAAAAATAAACATTCCAATTNAAATCTAATAATGTTTTTTTTTTTAATAATACATTCAATTATTTTATATATTTAAATATGTAATAATTAGCAGATGGAAATGTTTGAAAAATGTTAGCTCACCATGTAATTGGTCTTCATAAGAGAAATTCGAGTTTGAAATTTTATAAAACTGTGATGAAAAAAAGCATTGAAAGAATTAAATTAGACGCTACCATTTCTGCAACCAGAAAAACAAGAATGGACATTGTCAAGTAGACGATGAGAAAGTAAACTATTATATACACACTTAAACACTTTCATCTTTTATCAACGACGACGATATGAATGTTATATTACTAAATTTATGCCGATCAATCGATATTTTTAAGTCTAAAAAGTCATCTTTTTAGCGATCTTTCTTTTCCTTGGCAACCATTTGGCGGTCTCCGTTCTTACGTCATTCTTAACCCTAACGAGGCCTCATCGTTAAATTCGCTTTAAACATCAAAATTGCATAAAATGTTGTAATATATTAAGAAATTTCTCCGAACTGATACCAAAAACGAAAACATGAATTAAAAATAAGAATTCAAATTGTCTTTTACATGTTTTAAATTGTATTTTTAACTCACTCACTTGTTTACAAAGTCGTTGCCATGTGAAGGACGTGTTTAGGAATGAGGCATCATGGGAATTCGAGCACTTTTTGTTCTATTCCCATTTACCTTATATTAAAATGAATATATTTTATAAAATTAAGAAATAAATATGAATTTATATTCAATATAATTAAATAGTTTAATTATATTCGTACTAATAAATGAAATATTTCGTTATATAATAAACAGACCTAATACGGCCATTTAATTTGTTTTAATTAATAATTCGAAATATTCTTATTTTATTATATATTATTATTAATAATTACAAAAAATTTATTTATCTATAATTCCTAATACAATTGATTCTATCAGAATAATATGTGATCATTTTATAAAACATTTCAAATTACAAATGTAATGATTAAATTGTAAAACTTTTAAATTATTTCGTATGAATTTTAATATTTTATTATTAAATTTAAGTTATATTTATATAAAATACAATATAATTGATATTCAGTTTAATGACATTGAAATGTACTGTACATTGGAAAGGCAGCATGTGAGTGTAATTGACAAGAAGCTTTTAAATTGAATACGATATTATTACAGTAAAAATAATGCATCCTGAGTTAGAGAAGGAGCGTTGCACTGACAATGCACTCTCTTCACATCTTAGGATTGAACAAAATAATCCTTGTTTGAAGGTTTTGTATCAATTCTATTTTTAAGTACAGTTTATGATAAATTTGTTATCTAATTATGTTTCTTATTAATGTCCTGTCCATGAGAAAGATTAAATGCTTCTCAAAGACAAACATCTGTTATAACCATAACTATATTAACCATAATTAAAAATAAACATTCCAATTAAATTTAATGACATTTAAATTTTTTTAATAAATTATATAAAAGCTAACACATTCTGAAAAATATTTAAAATGCTTCTAATCTGAATTAGAATATAAATATAATCAATATATACCTAGAAAATTAATTAAACTTATTAACAATACAACTAAAAAGTGCAAAAATGATTTGGTTAAATATTGTTTATTAAAGGTTCAGATTATATCATTGTTCCCATTAATCTTTCCATTAACATTTTTTCAAAATATATTTATAAGACAAGCATCTTAAAAATAATGTATGACTGCAATATTAACAGATAATATACAGTATATTAAATTTGTTAATGAAAAGCATTGTTACTGATATAAAGGCTCAATCGATATTATTAGTGATATTGATGATGATTGGTAGTAAATAACAAAATTGTTTTATATGAACTAAATCAAATCCAAATATTATTTATTTCAACTATTAGAAATTTTAAATATTTTAAGTTAAAAATTACCCTTATCAATCCAGCAAACGATTTTTAATATCATAAAAATGTTCTCAATTATTTTAAACGATCATCCTCAGTTTAAACTATCCAATTTTTATGATATTAAAAATCGTTTGCTGGATTGATAAAGTTGTAATTTTTAACTTATTCACTATCCAGTATATAGTTTGGATGATATTTAAAATATAAAATAATGTTCAGAGGGTATGATTGTATTTAAATACATAAAATATATTTATTTAAAAAAAATCAATTTTTAAAAAAATCATCTTAAAAAATTAAAAAACTTCAAGTGTTTTATGTTGTATAAGTAAATATATATATTTGTTACTTGTACAATATAAAATATATACAATAGCTTACATTCTTCTCTATTCTTGATCTAATGTAATAGTTCCTAACTGCACTAGTGTGCCATGAAGCCATTCTAAATATTCTGTAAGATAGCTAAAAAAATTAAAATGACAAATTTAAAAATTTGTAAAAAGTAATAAAATGTACTTATATATGTTATCAATTATATTTCAGAAGTTTGCACTAGTAAACTATTATAGAAAAAATATTAGAGAGAGCTTAGTTATCAACCCACTGACTTCAGTAATATTTAATAATAAAAATATATTGCAACTTTTACATGATTATTTAAGTCTGCCATAAATGCAGAAAGTTGGGAATCACTGGTCTAACAGTACAATTATCTGTATTTCAATTTTTAAACATTTTTCCAGCTATATAGACATTTATAGAAAATTTTGAGTTGTAAGACAATATTGAAATGAAACATAGTTAAGGGCTGTCCGTAAATTATGTCTGCATTTTTCTTGAAATTTTTACTCCCCATCTCCCCATTGTCCTAGTTTGTCCCAAGTTTCCATAACCCCTCTCCCCACTTCAGACATCCAACAAAACTTGATCCCTCTCAAAATCTGTATCACTTTATGAATAATAAAAATTTATAAACTGTGTACAGTACAATTTATGAAATAAAACAGATATCATTGAAGCTCAACCCCTCCCTCTGGTCCCACTTGGCATAACTCCCCTCCCTCCTGTCCAATGTGGATGTCATTTATGGACAGCCCCTAAACTATATCATCATAGAATCTGTTAATTTGGTTGGGATCATTTTTATGTTAATATGACAACATATCTTCAGTTCCACAATGAGTAATTCCAAAGTCTGATATCAAATTTATATAAAAATATGCACTCAAATCTATAGTCAAAACCAGTGCTGGACTTAGAGTTGTGGCCTTAAACTATAATTTTGTAATGCCTTTTCCCTCCAGTAAATAACTAAATGATAGATGAAAAATGTGAGGCCCTAAATGTACTCAGTTTTGCAAATCTGGCCAAAGCCAAAACACTAACGTAACTTGAAAGTAGCAGAATTTCAATTTAAATAGAGTTAATTATATTTTATATAATAATAAATAAAACAATAAAAAAAAAAAGAATATTTATTAAACTCAATATTATTTATTATATAATTACAAACTAATTATTTAAAAATTTTACATATACACAAAATTAAACACATATTTAATAGTATTTTTTTTTTCTTCTACATTGATATGTGAAGTACTGGTGCATATACTTGGTTCAGCATCTGGGATTTGCTAAAGATTTGCAGAAAGTCTAATATCAATTTAGAAAACTTGTGAAACTTTTTAAAAAAATGATATTACACATTATTACAAGTATTTGGTAAATGCAAACATCATTTAACTTCCAAATAATGCACTTAAAGAAATTTTGTAATGAAGTGTGTAATTTATATTTACTTTCAGTGCTTTAAAAAAAAGTAGGGCAAGTGGGATATTTTCTCAAGTACAGTTATATTAAGTGCATAGAAATTAAAATTTTAAAGAATGGAAATGGATTTCATGTTCTGAAATTTATATTTTATTTTGAAAACATAAATATCAGTTTATAAATTTATTAAATAAGCAGATTATTAACTGATGCAACAGAGTAGATTACAAATTTCAGTGATTTTTTTTATTATTAACAATGTTAAGTGTTGTTAAAAAAAATCATTGAAATTTATGTGCAAAAATGTTTGTTTTTTCTATATGCAGTAAAAGCACGATGTATTTTTTAAATAAAATATTTTAATATATTTTAAAGTTAATTAAAAATAGTGTTTAAAAATAAAAAAGTAAAAGTTTTAAAATAAAATAAAAAAAACTGATATTTTAATAGTTATATATGAAAATTCCAGATCATTTAATTTTGTTAATTTTCTTTAATTGTACTTTAATAAAAATTGCATTAGATCATTTTCAAATGATATCAAGTGACATATTTAAAGTGAATTATGTAATTCACAGCGAATTAAGTAGAATGTCTTTCTAGTTTATACGAATATAATGTCAATGTTGTATTTATATACAATAAATGTATTGTAGAATAAAAAAAATAGCAAATGCACACAAATTAATATAACAAAATTCTTTATCTTAAAAAAAAATGAATTAAGTGAAACTAAATGAAAAAGTTTTAAAAACCCAATCATGCTTCATTTTAAGATGAATGAAATAAATAAAAAAGGAGAATATTTTTCAGGTTCTTTTTATGACATTATTATTACTATTATTTAATCATTCCAACTTTCTGCTAGATTGAAATTTTCCAATGACATATATATATATGATGATATATATACCATACTATAATTCAAATTGTTTTGCAAATTATTATGCTATCCTTTCGATATATTTCTTTTCATTTTAAACAAAAATTTAAACATTTTATTTCTAACATACTGGATAA